ACATAAATGCAACTAAGAGAAGCATTATGTTGCAGAATCATATTGCAACAAATCTTTCAGGGAAATGGCCTAGGCAAAAGTGGAATATTTGAAAGCATTGGCAATTGGTTTCAAAGCTTGCTTCAAAAGACCCCTTTCTCAATACCTGAACCTCTGCTCAATCAACAAAAATATTGAATAATTATGAATTTCAAACTGCTGGTAGTTTTGCTTGCTTAATTGACATATTGCTTTGCGAGATGGAGGCAGACCAAGCAAACATTAAGTCTACAAATATTTTGGACATTGATCCTCCTGTTTATCATGATATTTTCAGGAAGTAACTAGGCAAATTGGTGTCAGCATAGGAAAAAAATAAAACCTACACACAGAGTATTTCCTGCATATTAGGTTGCACAAGATAAAAAATTATAGCTTTGAAAAAGCAAACATTTCACAACATACTACTTAAAGCTCATCTTCAGCAATTCAGATGACTGGTGATGGATCAAAAATAGAAAATGAAGGAAGGTTACGATTAATGTGAGCACTTTTCAGAGAAATTCCTTTGTCTTTAGGTAAGCATGATTAGCAATTATCAATTCTTCAAAATATATGCATTGATCATTAATTTATTGACTGAATGGGGCTTAATGATCATATTATTTCCTTAACCTTTCTAAGGACCATTAATTTGACAATCCAACAAAATCCCTCAACATTGTCAAACTTATGCAAAACAAACAATTTAGAGTAATGAACATTTATATTGCTAAAAGCAGGCAAGGATCTTGCCAAAACGGCACCGTATAGCAGGGGGGATGGGGCACTTTTTATCACTTTTTGGTACTTGCCAAAACTTCCAATTATTAAGTAATAAACTACCATTAAATCCTTATTTTAGTCAGTTTTGGTCCCCCCCCCCCACTTTTTTAAACCCCCATTTTTCTCAACGCTCTGCGGTGCCTGCTGAATCCTGACCTGTGCTGAGGTTGTCAGAAAGAGGAGCCGTGCCTTAATGTGGGTAACACCCATTTTTTGATATTAAAAACGGGGATTGAAAAAGGAAATCAAGGAAACGGACCCACAAAGGGATAAAAACCTGAACTATAGCCATTGGTAATGCAGTTGACTACCACTACTACACTACCAAGCCTGACTGACTTAGCTTGACAACTTTCACTTCATTGGTTGCAAAAAACAACTGCATTGGTCCATTGTTAACAATTGTATTGGTTAACTCAGATTCCTGTTGGTTGCTTGTATGGCTATAGAAGCAAATATGGCTTCAAATCTCACTTATGCTCACATTCTCATTGCTTTAGAAGATATACACACTATAGATAAATTCCTAGAATTGCCGTCCAACAGGGATATGCAGCAGCTTTTTCATAAATTTATGGCTTAGGATGCTTGAATATACATTCGTTATATATTCTCAATAGACGTATCGTGGGGTGTAGTGCTAGGGGGGGGGGGCTCAAGGGGCTGTTTTCGCAACAGTTTCAGTACAAGAACGTCCCTCGTTATTTTGACAGCACTACACCACTGTGCAAAAGAAAACATAGGCCGAATGTTTTAATTTGACATTGTAAATCATCATAGAATATTAGGCCGGGATCTAGTGCATATTGTTTATATGAAACATTGCCCCATTTCACATTCAGCACAGCTATCTTACCTGAAGATATTCAATTAAATAAACTATCAAACTCACTTGGAATGACGAAGTTTGCTAGAGACTTAATGTAAACTAGCATCTTTGTTTTGACTTGCAAATATTTCAAATCAAGCGGCGTCTGAACTGCTCCTTTCGTCACTATGCTGTCAACCTTTCCCGCCATTATCCAAAGCGAGGCTGAGGGGCTCCGAACTTTGAAGCAAAGCAAGGCTTTTGAATAAATCTTTGTTACTCACCATTTCAATGTTGGTATTAATTTTGCAGTTTGGAATCTATAAACAAAGATTATGAAAATCCGAAATTATGACCCTACCTGATCAGTCATAATAGCATTTAAATCCGATGTATGATTGTATGATTGCATTTTCTCAAAAACAATGTATGAGACTAAAACCAAATTTTAACTGAATATTCTATCAATACGTCAATCTGAAAACAATTAAAAGAGAAGAAAAAAATTGTTTATCCTCTGTTGGTATTTATCTACAATTTGAAATCTATGAACTTTTTGAAAATTATGAAAATTATCGATAGTCGATATTGTGACCCCAGCTGAGCAATCATCAAATCGTTTAAATCTTTCAAAAGTTAGTCTTAGATGTGTGCATGTTATTTTAATTGATAAATTTAGCTTTCACTTTTTATGAATTTTTCATAAGTTTTTTAAAATGGGAATCATACAAAGGAAAATCAACTTTTTTTGTCTAGGAGAGGAAGTGGTGTAAAACCAAGGAAAATTTAGCGCTGCAATCCATTTCAGTGGGAATTGTGCGTAAAGAATGATTCTAAATTCCAGCACACTACCTCGTTATTAAAATTGAGCTAACATCATCAATATTTTCAGAAAATTTTCATTGCACTTAAACTTAGAGGAGTGGTCTCTCTTTGGATGCAAAGGATTGGGAAAATGCCATTTCGAGAAGGCGCTTGGTAAAAAATAAGTCTATCAAAGCAGTGATAATTGAATGGAAAAAGCTCGGTAATAGCTTGATAAAATTTCTTGCTTCTTTCCAATAGTGAAATGTATATGATTCTTTGATAAAATGAGGTCAGTACTTACTCTGGACAGCAGGACGTTATTGATGGACAGGGCATCATACCCTAGTAGAAAAGCAAAACAACTTTCGCTTGTACCAAATCCACTGTTAGTAGCAGCTGATTACTTTTTCATTCTTTCTAGACCCCTAATTCCACGTGTTTTTGCAAAGTCGTTTTATTGCAAAAAGCATTGAGCTCATTTATTTGCACAATGACCTGTTTCTAAAGCTCTTTTTGTGTCTCGGTGCTCTTTATTTCTTTTTTACTAGACTTTATTTCTTTTACTAGAAATTATAATCATTGCACATATGTCTCTTTAGACTTGTAATATATTCATTCCAACTCTTTAGAATCTCATGTATTCTAACTGCACGTTTTGTGTAGAACTGCACATGGAAAAACCTAATAAAAGTATTTCCACCCACAAAGTAAACTTTGTAACTAACAGCAAAGCGAGAGAAAGGCTTGTTAATGGTGCTCTTAAACTTTTCCTCAAATCATATCACGATGCAAAAAAGATCATAAAACGTTTCTGAGGTTCCTTTAAAAAAATGAAAAAACGTTGTTGGAGGGTTGACAGCCAAGTGCTCCTTGTCATAGACTTAATCTCTGAATCAGAGTTACGTCTTTTGTCTCTAAAAAAACTAAATCCTCGAAGCCCTAAAAAGACTAAAAAGATGTTGTCTTTCAGAAATAGCAAGATGAATAAAATATATTTTCATTAAGCGAGATTCATTTTAAAAACATTGTTGAAATATGTCTCGTGTTCAAATACTCCTACTTTTAAATTAAATTTCTTCGGAGATTAGAGAAAGACATGAATTTTAACCCTTAATTGACGAAATCAACCACATGTGATGCTTTGCAATATCAGCAAATCCCATATAGCTCCCTCCTGGAATACAGCGTTTGTCTCCACCTATCATCAAACCAAACAACGCTACACCGTTGCTCCCTTCACAAACCAAGGGAGATCCAGAATCACCAATACAGCCTCCTTGAGCCATTTCAGTGTTGTTTGTTTTTTCACCTCCGCAGAATACCTTGTGATAATGGCCTGGGGAATATGCATGCTTAATTCTAGAAGATAACAGGCAATGCCTCCATGTCACGTTCAATGGCACTTCTATTTCTTGCAGCGTGCTTGAAATGGAATAGTTCTTTTGTAAAATGTCCTCTGTTCCTCGAGGCAGTACCTCCTGGCTTCCCCATCCTAAAGAGTGAGAATCATTAAAAGTTTTCGTAGATTTTTAGCAACATAAATATTAATTAAGATTGCTGGGACATTTCTGAATTACTAAATAGAACTGAAGGAAGAATAGAATAATTCAGTGGTACTTTTTGCGAACAATTTAAAGGGATTGTTCATTGGAAATAAAAGACTTCCACAATTTTCTATCTATCAAAGAAAAGCTGGTGCCTCAAGGATTACAATTCCCTCCTGACGCACAGTTTCATAGAAGACTATTTTTTAATGCTGCATTGATTATGGTAAAAGAATCTTTTAGAATCCTAGGTGGCATTTTTAGGTTGAATGTGTTCCAAACTCTAAATTTGAAATAGATAAGATCTTTTGGTTGCTTCAATACTTTCTTTTTGCCTGTTTTTCCAAAATAACCTTGAAAAAGTTATCTTACCACAGAAACTTTGCCGTTACAATGGGCTTTCTAATCGACACTGCCATGTAACGCTCTGTTTGTCATTATGTACTGAAGCCTTGTTTGCTTCTCATGTGCAGCATTTTTCCCACATTGCACCTGAGCTGTCTGGCTAGATTTTTAAAAATTTACCTAGCATCATTTTGGATGTGAAAATTCGAAAAAATACATGCCAGTCGAAATTTATATCATGCAAACCTGCGGACTTGCAATTCCTGTGAAAGTCTGAACCGGAGTTTAACTTGATTGGTGTCGTATGAAAAGAGGCATTTCCTTCTAATTTGATCAAGGCAATTTCGCTGTCCAGTGGTATTGATATGGCATCACCTATTCGTGGATGGACTAAAATCTTCTCTGTGCTGAAGGTAGAAGATTTGTAGGGATCCGTTTTGTCGCCTTTAAATAAATTAAAATAGAGAAATTAACAAGGTGGAATAGCATTTTTCGTTGCCAAATTCAAAAATTTGATAATATTTCATAGTTAATGGTACAATGGCCAATACAGCAGTTTTCCAACATTTATAAGTTATCGGTAAAATGAAAGTGAACAGAGAGGAGAGCAAAAATGGGGTTATTAAAGTAATGTTTTCAATACTTTTACAATATTGAAGCCCACCAGCTTCATAAATCATAATCTAATACGAGTTTTCTTGGATCCTACTCTATAAACAATTCAAAATAACTCACGCAATTCAACTTTCAAATCGTTAGGACGAATAACACCGCCTTTTTTGTCTCGAACACAATGTGCTACAGTTACCATCCACCTTTTGCTTATTGCAGTGGCAGAACAAATTTTCCAATAAACATTCGCACTTTGCGTGTACTTTAGAGAGGCAATGAAAGGCCAGTTTCGAAGATCTGCTTTTTCTCCATTAATCATCCGCTTGTCTCTAGACTTTTTCAAAACTCCGCTTAAATAGAACACAATCAGTAGGTGAATTCAAGAACGAACAAAACAACTTTCCAAATTTTTAAAATAAATTTAGTATTTCAACCAGGGACACTGACGTAGGATATAATTTATTTAGACCTGCCGGCTTGAAAATATCTACCTGGATTTTGGTGGGCTGCCAAAAGCTTTAATTTGCAGATTGTCTTTGCAAATTTATAGATCTTATTTGTCAATACTTTAATCTTGGAGGAAGGGACATCAATCAACGAGTGTGTCTATGCGGGAGTAGCAGGGGAGAAAGTCATTGTGTAAGACGCTAAAGAGAAGCGTCAAAACCCATGTACAGGTAAACCTGTAGCTATAATCTTCATTTGTACCCCGGTGACCAAAGTGACCTTCATTCAACTCCACTCACCATTTCATCTATCTCGAATCAGCATTATCACCCTTATATCACATCTGTTGCTTAGTATGAATATTGAAAACAGCATTAAATATGCACGATAATCAATGAAGTTGTGCGTGTTGCACGTCGAAAATGAACAAAATTTTATACAAGAAAATAACGACTTTGTACAAGAAATGAATATCTGGTACAACGTTTCGAGCATAACTCTTCATCAGGTGAAAAAAGAATAGAAGGAGAAACGGTTAAGAAGAGAAAAGAACAGTAGAATCGAAAGATAAACTATATGGAGCGATATGGAGCGTAGTAGAAATACGACGTAGAATGTAAGACAAGATGGAAATATGTGAGGGGTGGAAAGCGTATAGATAAGGCAAGGTGCAAATTAATAAAAGCTGGATTAGGAAAGAAACGAAAATTGTTTATTAAGACCATTAGGAACAACATGATAGCAAATAAATCTTTTAAGAAAAGTGACATTGTGAAAACCGATAGTGAGTTTGAAAATCTCCTTGATACTTGGCAATCGAAATGTTGTTAATCCCAATAAAGATGAGATGCGTTACCTTTTCCATACGCTCCTGGAAACTGCTCCCAATGATAGGCTCAGGATGAACAGTAATGTTGCAAAATCTCTTTTATCCTGTGGAGGATAAAGTTATCAAGAGTTAATAAAAGCTAACAATAACAATTTATCCTGAGCTTATCTTTCTTATCAATCCCACGAAATTTTGTTTCTGTCAATACATTCTAGATCCAGAAATTTCATTTTTGCAAACCATGCTCTATAGGAAGTTATTTTTTAATACTGTTTTGTCTTCTATCATTCAATTATTAACAGAATCTTTTCAAATTTGTCAGCTTGCACCCATGAAGTCATCATTTATTAAAGTGCAAATTGTTTTGGATGTTCTATTCATCTAAGTTGATTAATGTTTCATCGTGTGTCAACCTTGTGAATGAATCGTTAATGTTAGAATATCATGCCTATATTTTAATGATATTCTTTAACAATGATAGGGTAATTTATAGATACAATATCAACGATGATCCAGTCCATCAGTGACCTACCTATTCTCGTGTATTAGTGATATTAGTCTCGAAGAGCAAGAAAGGTCTCACGATAGAAGAAATTTCTTTAAATCAAGAAAATTACTCGCGTTTCTAAGCAAGCTAGAGTCACAAATCTGTGACAATCGGTAGAAAGAAGGAAGTTCAAGGGGTGTGCAAGCGGTGAGAAGGAAAAGTTGAGAAAAAGTTGATAAAATTTACAGGCTAATGGACTAATAAAACAAAAGGTAGCGTGTATGTGTATGATGCAGATGTATATTTACAGCGTTATGTAAGGGATTCTTTTATTTTTATTCGTATCATATTCTCATTTAAATCATAATTTTTAGATTTTTCTATGACCTTTCGAAAGAATATGTTAAAGAAAATATGTCAAAATTTTTTTCATATTAAATGTATTTCAACATATTTTTACTTGTGGTGGTACAAGCATTGCTATAGCGATAACAAAATAATTTGTTTTCACATAAGATATTGCTTCGAAAATTGTCTGAATCAAACATTTTCAGAAACTCTTAAGTCAAATCAAACACTCAATCATTTAGGCAGAAGGGCTGGGTTTTGGGTTATTGCTCCTACATAGAATCGAAACATGGTTTAAAAAATGTTTCGAAAAATTGATCAGAATGTATTTAGCATGTGGTAGAGCACACGATATTTACTTGCGTAGTATTACGGGGATGCAGACAAAAGCGAACGTTTCTTTGAAGTAGAAAGTGCAGATGTCCCAAGAACTTTCCGAGGACAACGCCCATTGACCGGTCCCACCCGTCCCCCAGATAAAACTCGATCCTGCCACTGTGCTGCAGCTGGTGCCGCCACTGATGGCAAGATTGGTCAATCCTTTTTTTCAAAATTAGAACCTATCCAACTTCGCTAAACCCCCCTGCACCGGATTTCGCGTCACACATTAGGTCACACACACGCAATACAGCAACGCACCATAGTTAATATTGCAATTTTACGATTCTCTGAAGCAATAAATAGCAGCACCAGCTAACTGAGGGGGGGGGGGGCTAATTGCCCACATTTTCTTCTATGGTAGGCAAAAGTCCAACATGGAACGCACACGACTCTTGCAGTCTCAAATCGCATCGCTAAGAATTGATTGCCCAAATATTACTGTAAAACAGTTTAAAATTATGCTTGTTCTTCTAATTTATCTTCGTCCACAGTTTTACAAGGCATGAGTTCGAAAGAATAAAGGCAGCGGCGATAAGTCCAAAAATTCTTCTTTATAGCAACGATCAGTGGTGTGAGGTAGTACAGGGCACCGTGGTTCGATAACTTAAGGCCCCCGACCAAAATTGCACTTATATCCATGTTTTTAAGACATTTATATCCAAGTTCAAACGCTTTCATAAGCTTTTGAAGCTCTTGAACTGCATTTTTTGCAACCCAGCTCCCCCTAGTTAATGAGAAAAATCACCATTACTACATCTTGATCATTGTGTTTGACATGCTCCACACTTTTGGATAGGACTTTTCTGCAGTCCAAAAATAGGGGCCTCGTTTCGGTTTTATCCTTAGGGCCCAAGATTGATCCACTAGTCTACTGGCAAAGATTCGATTATTGACCATGAAACATTGAGTTCGACCAACTAAAGGCAAGACCAGATCTAACCAGTAAAACCACCAACACAAATACATATGGAACAAAAATAACTATTTACAGACGCTGAGACAAGCATAGTGCAATGATGCCTTCATCACGTGGTATTGTCCGAATGGAAATCTTCATTAAAACTTACTGTGTGAACCGGCTGTAGACTACGGAACATGGGCTTAACTCTAAAAATTGCAAACTTGTCATCGACATAATAAGAATAAACCGCTTGTTTACTAATGTCGCCGAAGAGCTTATTTTCACGAGAACCGATGAAATTGGTTTATAAAGCTGGTGTTTGTCTACAATGACTGAAGGGCCACCCTCCCTAGTAGACGTATATCTCTATTTCTCTCACTTGAATTTTAACTATCTTCAATGTTTGAGCACTGACTAGCAAAAAAAGTTCTTTTTACAAAGAATTGCGTTTTCTTGTTTTCAATTGTGCGTCTTTATTCAGGTATAAATCTGTTATCTATATTTTTTAAGCTTCGTCGCCCCGTTTAGCCTGAAACGCTCGCGATGTGAACTACTGTAAGTCCTCGAAAAAAAACCCCGCCTTCGAATAAGCCTCTCTCTCGTAAAAGCCCACACCTTAAAGTAATTTTTGTGAAATAGCCCCACACCCTCGATTAAGCCCTCATTGGCGGGATACTGCCTTGATAGCAATAGGTTTATCTCCGCATTTTTGAGCATTTTAAGCACACTGATCAGTCACAAATAGAGAAATAAAATTTGCCCTGGCTTTTGCTTAATAATATTTTGGGCTGCTGCTTAATAAGGCTCTCCCTCGGATAAGCTTCCGCCCCAAAACCTTTTTGTGGAATAAGCCCTCGGGGGCTTATTCGAGGACTTACGGTGATTGCTGGAGGGAAGAGGGAAAACCGACTGTGCGTATGAAATTAGTGTATACCACAATATTGGGTGTCGAGTACGTCACTTTATGCCATGGTTTCTTTCATTCTGAATTATACAAGAGAATGTATCATCATCGATTAGGAATACTTCGGGCGTATATCGTATATTATTCCTAACTTGAAACAGCGCTACGTCAAAGAGTGATCTTACGTATAATCTGACATGCTAAGTCTTATGACTTCGTTTACGTCACAACAGCAACATCCTGTTACATTACGACTGACATTCTCCAGCATCCGTGTATCGAACTAAAAGTAAATGGTAGAGATTCCTTGCCGGTCACGTATCTTAAGTATGTCGTGACTGTAAACAGGGGGATGCTTGTGTAGGTCACTGCTGATTCTGAAATCTCAAAAACCCTCTTTTTGATGTTCGCAACCACTTTTTTGCGAATCATTTAGTTTCAAAGCTGTAATAAAAGGTGAAGGAAGCCTTGGCTCCTCCTCCCCCCCCCCACACTTTCAAATTCGTGGCGTAGGCCCTGGCAACGTCTTCATCCTTCCATCCTCGTCATTTTAAGGCAAAAAACCAATTTATCTGCATCGAGCCCCACCCTAGTCTCGAATGAAATACACGATTTTAGTCTTAAAATATTCAACTCTAATTTTTCAAAACCCCAATAAACCAACATTTGGAGTTGGGGGTAATTTCAATTTTTGTTTGCATTTCAATGTCATCTAGGCCTTCTGACCGTTTCTTTGTCGACAAATTAAATCTTTTATAATTTATAGATTTCCTATTGGCAAAATTCAAAAAGAAAAATTTGTAATCCTTGTAAAAGAGCTACCGAAATCATAGACTAATGATGATAAATTCATAAGAGTCAACAAAGCATTTAAATCTTTCTAAGAATTTGACTCACATGCTAAATTTATAAATTTCCAACAAAAATTTTGATGACAACAGTTTCAAACTGAAGTAGAATCAATGCTAACTAGAATCGTTAGAAAAATATGTTGTACTTCTTCTTTTGCTCCTCCAAATACTTGAAAGCTAAATTCCCCGTTTGCTATCACAACAAGTTTTAAAAACTGATGCAATATTTAAATCAAAGTAAGCATAGAATAGAAGAAATTTGTGTTAATATAAGGAGCATTAATGACATGGCTATTTTAAGAAATCACCAGGCTACGCCACCGGGGGGCCGGGATGGCCATGGCCCCCAACTTTTTTGTGAAGCTACAATCAAAGGTGAAAGTAGCCTTGGCCCCCACTTTCAAATTCGTGGCGTCGGCCCTGAAACGTGCTTGTAATTTTGAACCACAGAAAATCAGCTTCTATGAAAACTCACTTCTTACATTCAAAAAAATAAATGATTCAAAAGTATCATTAGTTAATCCTACGTACGAGCAAATTTAGACTCACCATTGTATTTAACACTCCACCAAAGTGCATCTTCTTGAATAACGAAGTGCTTTGCTGTTGTTCGTATCCTCGTCGTGATCTTTTATTTGTATCAACCAATACTTGTAAACGGGGGTTGCACCAGTCGCTTTTTCCCTCTACCTACACCTACCATTTTAAAAGTAAACATTATCAGCGAGCCATAAAAGTATTCGAAACAGAACATTCATGCTCACGTTACTAGTCTTATGCGATTATAAGTGCTTTGTACCATGTAAGAAATTCTAAATTAAGGCTAATCTTCGAAACGTGATTGTAAATAATCACATATCTTAATTGATCTTTAAAATAGATGGACTGAAGAGTTCCCTTTGGGACACTGTCTAACACACCTATGTTACGCAAAAACGTCCCAAATTGGTATCAAGGGGCTCAGGAAAGATTCATAATTTACTTACCTCGAAATCAGGAATAGAAGATTGGGTGAAACAAAAAACTAATTAGCGGGTATGTTGCCATGTTGTATATGTTAAGAACAACGTAGTCTGCACAAAGGCTTTAGGAGGACAGAACAAATCAGGGATATACTTTGTAAGAATTTGTTAATATGTTTCCAAATAGTGTTACTTCCGTGAAACTAACGTGACAAGGTGAGAGTTTGTCCTGTCATTTATCAAACTTGATTCGATTTCAATTAAACAACAGTTTTATCAAAAGTTTAGTCAACAATTAATCAGAGATTTCCCTGCAGCAACATGCATCTACTTTGCATTTTGTAGCAAAAAGAAGGCATGTTATGGAAAAAACAAGAGTCATCAATGTAATTTTCGTAAGAATCAAAAAACAAATTTATAAACCCTTGCTAAAGTTTCCTAACTTTTCCTAAAGTTATTTATTCAGAATGACATGTTTTCTATAGTGGAATCAAACAAGGAGAATATTTTCTATAATAGATAACGGAATAAATATTTCTAAAATTGCTGTATATTGAAACAAACCTCCAGTTTCTATTTTTAGGCTGGCAGCTCTACTGAAAGTCAATAGAAAATATTAAAAAGCCAACTGAACTTATCCTGATAAGCCATTTCTCGACATAAAATACTGAATGCGTCGAGGTAACAACTATAGCTCTGAGCATCAGTCGAATATTTTTTTTCTAGATTGTGAATCTCAGTTAAATTTGGTCAAGTTAGGAGCGCTCAACAAAAGTACTGGTCTCCTCTTATTCTCAGGGTCACAAATTCAGCTCTTATGTCCCATGTTGGGTGCCATTCTCTATTAGTTTAAAAACAACGGGATTAAATAAAGAAAACTGCTTTGCTAGATTTGGTTATAAAAAAGCTAAACCAAAAAATCCGTTTTCAAAGCGTTTTTTTTGCCACCACTCGATTACGAAGCTTCTTGTCGAACCACTGCTAAACAACAAGAACTTGTGCCCTTCAAGGGTAAGAGTCATTTTTCTACAGCATATTTACAGCACGCAAAGGAATATACCATATGATTTTAGACCTTGGAGCCTTTAGCAGGCCTTTGAATACAACAGAGACATCATAGGTAATCTTGAGAGGCAGCTGTTACCCCGGTATCAGTTCAAGTTGCCTGTGTATCCAGTCTTTGGCCAAAGTTTGTGAATCTGCAGCTTCTTAAACACCATGGTAAACTGCCTTGCAAATACAGTGAGAAAAAATAATAGCGGATTAAAAAGTCATAGATAAGTTACTCATAGATGCAGCTTGCAAAACATACATTCTATCCACCTCTGTATTAAACCAAGCATTTGTATTATCAAAAAAAGGAATACAACACATATTAGCTTTGCAAAATGAATAACATTTATTATGCAGTTAAATTTGGGTTCTTGTAGTTAGTAGCGACTATTGATTTTCCTTCTAGGTATGCCTCCTGGGTTCATAACGGCAACTGTAAAACCGACAATGGAGTTTAGTTTTTCCAGAGGTGGATGTTAACAATAGAATTTGATCTCAACAATCGGCAAGTAAAGGAGCCTTTCCAATAGAGAATCTCGACTTCTAGAAATACCATTTCTTTTTCAAAAAAAATGACTTCTTAAAAAGGGTGAATATTCTGCTTTCACTTTATCAAAATGTTGCCATGGGAGGCTGAGCCCCCTTCCAAGCGCCTAAATAATTGGCATCTTTGATAACAACCAAAAAATCAAGCTTAGAACTAACAGATGTAGATGTAGGATTGTCTAAAAAAAACACGTGAAAGTAAGATTTAAAATTATTGACTAGAAACTTTGAAAATGATGATCACAAATGGCATACCAATTTTGAAATTTACAGTTGCGATGTTCCATTCAAACTGCACATGTGATCATAAATCTCCATGTCGGCCGAAGAAAAATATGTGATTCAAGTCTTTCTTTTTCTTTTATTAGTGAACCTGTTGAATCTGTGGCACTGATGTGCCAAAACATACTGGAAAAACCAGCTAGATGAAACGGAATCGAAAATTGCTAAACAGTCCTAATCTAGCATCGCTCGTCGTAGTTACGAAGTAAGCCTGACTCCACTTTTTGTGCATTCTCGCGCCCGATCGTAGCTTTACCTCTCCGTCGCAGCATCAATTTCGGTATGGCCAGGAGGATACATCGATTTTGTACAATAATAAAACATCTTAAATAGTGCGTGATACAAATGCACCAAGTAGCGATAAGTTGGGTTGGATAAAGTGGAATCCTAAAATGAGGAATGCCGTCCTGAAATGTTAAGAAGTGTGGCTCTGCTTTAGGCTGTTAGGAACTTCTATAAGCTACATCAAAGACCTCACCCATGTTCACACCCTATACCTATATACTTTCAATTATGTTAACGATGCTCTGTTGTGTATATGAAATCATTCCAACTATTCAACAACACTAAAAGGCTAATATAAATTGCCGATTCATGGGAAATCAATAGCAACACAAAGGGTTAGCGCCAAGTAATAAATTCACCAACCAAAGCATAAGCTGGTTTGTTTTAACAGGGCTTAGCCCTTCTAAAACTTTCTCTGAATTTTGACAAGGGGGCTGCCCCTCCCTGAGCCCCCTCTAAGACACCACTGCGTAAAACAATTGGGGTGCTGCTGCTGTCCTTTTTTGGCTAGGGGGATACATCGATTGTGCAAAATGAAAAATATCTGAAATAGCACGTGATACAAATACACCAAGAAGCGGTAAGTTGGTAAAAATGAAGCGATGTCCAAAAACTATAAGGTACTATTGGTATGATATTGATGCCAGTGGCGGAAATTGCGGGGTGTGGAAGGGGGGCGAGCGCCTCCAGCTATTGCTAGATTGTGGTCAAAACACATTTAGCGGATTTGTTGGTAAATTTAATCATTTTCGGCAAATTTGCTTTGTTGTGTTGTTTTCCTTCCCCCCCCCCCCCACCTGAAAAATAATGGAGGTACACCGGGGTTGCAAAAGTAAAGAAACTGTGAGCCAAAATGGCGGCTGTCAGAGGCTAAATGGCCAAGATCGATACAAAAACAGAATTATGAAGCTGAGGTTCTATCGATCCCTTTAGGAATCGTTTTCATACTTTTTGAACCTTAGGGTACACATGGATCCAAAAAAATATGATAAGGTTTTTAAAATACTAGTGTTAAACGATGTTGCAATATTTATGAGTGATATGTTCTTCGCACTAGGCTTTCTGAGTAGAAAAATTCCCTCTGATAGCTCATTGCTAATAAAATAGACTTATTACAAAGTCGTCTAGAGGAGGAAAATATGTAGAATGTAGAAAGGTACTTTCAAATGAAAAATTGATTCAAACTACCATTACAAACACCACTGTGGAGCCTTCCAACGCCCCTAAGATGAAAACACACCCATTCGGCAACACTCTTTTTAATAGCATACGAGATTTCGACAAAAAAAAATTATTTCCAGGAATTTTCAGATGATATGATATGATATGAATACAATCTTATAAAACAAATAAATAAAAAAAATTTCAAAGGCAATGTAGTAACGAAGAAATGCTGTTCTTCCAGGATGCCGTGTTTTGAAGTTGGTGTTTTTGATCAGCCAGGTGTGCTTTTAATTGTTTTTTAAGGCAACCGAGAGTTGAGGCCTCTCGTTTATCAACAGGCGTATCATTCCATATTTTGCATGTTCTGTATTTAGTCTTGGGGTCTGAAGATCATGGCAGTTTTTTGTTATATGGCTTGATTGCATTGATCTTAGCTTAGAATTATCCCAAAGGCTTTCGGGCCTTAGCTTATTCGTAATCTTATAGGTCATAACTGACCGATCAAAAGAAATAAGGTTATTGACGTTCAGCCAATCACAGGACCAGTTGTCTCTTAATCTGGCACTTTCGATTATCGATTGGGCTCTATTTTGTTATCGTTGGAGAGTTTCGAGTTTTTTTGTTGGGAGACTGCCCCAGATAACATCTGTGTAGCGTAGGTGACTTTCAACGATAACGTAATATACATTGCATAGCTCCGTCTGAGGGATAATGTTTTTCAGTTTCTTCAGTGAAGCAAGTCCCCCACAAATTTTGTTCTTAACAATTTTGAATTGCTCGTCCCATTTCAGACTTTCATCAACCATTACTCCTAATGATTTGGTTTTGAAATTCGTTTGATTTCAGAGTCATTTAACTATGACCCTTTCGGCATATTTACATCTTTCGTTTTCTGAGCGTGGCCTTTAATCATGTAATCCGCTTTTGAGAGGCTAGGACTTAGCCTCTTTACTCTCATCCATTCGAAAATGTTACCTAACTCCTCTTGCGCATCCGCTACTAGTTTCTCGATGTCATCTCGATGTCACATTAGTATCATCAGCATAGATATTTGCCTTAGAAAATTTTAGGCGTCGTTCAAAATCATTTAGATATATTATGAATAGAAAAGGGCCTAAGCAAGGGCTTTGGGGTATGCAACATATTATCAAGGTAAGATTTGAGCCAGTGACGTATGCTCTCAGTTTTCTAATCATGATTGTGTTTAAGGTCTAGAAAAATCTTCAGATTCAGCTTTTTGCAGTTGATATTTTCATACCAAGAATCGGTGCTCCAATCAAGGATGTCACAGTGGAGTATCGTTTTTTAAATGCAGATTGGTTTCTTGTTATCACTTTATTTGCCGCAAGGAACTCAAAGATTTGTTCATGAACTATTCTCTCCAAGATACTCGAGGAAACCGAAATGACTGATATAGGCCTGTAATTATTAACATCTTTCTAAGCACCTGATTTAATAACAAGAGTAACTCTGGCAATTTTCCAAATATGTGGGAAGACTTCACCCATAAGCGATGAATTAAAAATCATTTTCAGAGGTTTTGATACCAGATCCCCTACATCTTTAATGACAGTTGTGGAGATCTTATCTGGGCCAGCTGCTTTTCCATTCTTCAACTTTCTAATAGCATTCGCCATATAAGTTTCATCTACAGAATTGAACACCATTTCATTTGACACTGAATTGATGTTGCGGAGGCAATCATCACCCAGCTTAGAAATAATCTTCTCCGCCATTCTCGGGCCAACCGAAACAAAGTGATGGTTTATTGCCTCCACTACATCACGCTTTCGTGTTAGATATTTACCATCTATGTCTAAATTTGAGAGTGAAACTATATTAACATTCTTGTCTAGGACTTCATTCATTGTCCGCCACATTTTCTTAGGGTCTGCCATATTTTCTTCGATTAACTCACGGTAATAATCCCTGATAGAAATGCGCATCTCATTTGTTTTCTCTTGTAGCTTTACGCTTCCTCTTGTAGGCAGACCATATTTCAGGAGATTTCTCCGCTTGCACCTTCAGTCTTTCTCTTTCAAACATTAAATTTCTCAAAGAGGAGGTGAGCCATGGAGCAAATTCACTGATAAACCTTTTTCTTTTAAGTGGTGCATGAAGATCCAAAATAGATTCGAATACCTCCTGAAACGTGGCCGCCATTCCCGCGGGAATATCACTAAACGGAGTTAAGGCTGATTTCCACGAGGCGAATTTCGCACCGAATTCGCTGCGAAAATTGTCTTTGACTTCCACGAGACTGCGAATTCGCTGCGAAATTATATAATAATTTCCGCCAAAACTCAATTTTAAAGCGCCCATTTTCAGAACTGCACGAATGGCGAATGTTTCAAGATTGTTTTCTTACAAATCAAGCAAATTTACCATGCTTTGACTGGTCTGCGAAATATTTCGCCGATAAAAAAGTAGAACTCTTTTCTACTTTCTTGCGAATTCGCTGCGAAATCAAAACTGCGCATGCCTTGATGCCTTCATCGGCGATTTCGTCGCGAAATTCGCCTCGTGGAAATCAGCCTTTAGAATAGCTTCCCAGTCTACCTGCTGAGTGTCGTTTCGGAAAAGTGCTTTGTCGTAGTTTTCACATTGCGATATTCGATTGTAGTGATTTCAGTATTGTAAATTAGGCCATATTCCTACATCATGCCATCACCATGACATCCACCTAGGTCATTCACAGCATCACCTAGCACAGGACATTCCCTTCACCATTGTACACACGTTCACACATCTATGTCATGCTGATTTCTTCCCAAGTCTAGATCTTTCCTTCTCCATTGCATCATCATTACATCATCACAACACATCATTACTCAGCACAATTATTTTGTATATAAGTATGTTAATTAGTATGTAATTCAGTCAGTCAAGTTCAGTCAAGTTCAGTTCACATCAGAGTTACACAGGCAACACACTGTCTCTCTCACTGGCTCCGTGTTCTCTGCACGTAAAATAAGATTCGAGGTAGCATCAACGGTGGAAAGTTACAGCAGAAAAGATAGGAACCAAGGCAATTCTTGCCACATAATATCGTTCCTATACGATTACAATTGGTTTCTTACTCTTAAATCTTCGCCAAGCATTGATTTTCCGAATTCCATACACCAGATAGTGGTCCACCATGCCAGTCTTAATTACATTTGCTTCTATGATGTATTTGGAATTGGAGGAAGAAAAATGGTCAATGAGTGTTTTGCTTGTTCGTTGCTCTCCAGATTCTTTCGTTGTCATAGCAACCTGCGTATAATTTTTTAAGCTTGGTTTCCACTATGAGTTAAAGTGAGTGTGATCTGACATGGTTTAAAAATTATCTCATAGTGGCAACACTCATTAAACATTATCTCATGAAAATTAACTCGTGTAAACTCACGTTATCTCATGAGTTTGGAAGCAAAAATTTTTGATTTCAAGCTCATGAGTTAACTTGAGATAACATTTTATCAAAAGAAGCCGATGCGTGGGAGCTGTTTAGCATTTGCGTTTTTGCTACATTTAAAATCACAGTTGTTGTCCCCGATCAAAATAATTTCCTTCACTTCCCTATCTAGTTCTTTTAAAATCTTCCTTAGGTTTTCAAAAGCATGTCATTGACACCAGCAGTTGGGGGTCGATACCAACAAACAATATGAAAGGGCATGGACATTTAGAGAAACTTCAAGAGAAATGAGCTCGAGTTTATCGTTGTTTAGCTTAATAAAGGGTTCTGGGAGATTTTCTTCTATACACACTGCTACTCCTCCCTCATTGCTATTTTTATCGTTTCGATATATCTTATACCCTCCTATGGAAACTTCAGAGTCTGTTACATTACTGTCAAGACGTGTCTCATTAAGGCCAATGATATCAATATCATTATCATACAGGATGATTTCAAGTTCAGGTTTATCTTTTCGAAGATGAAGTAATAGGATTTCCACCAAAGGTGTATGAAGTTTCCATGGAGTGATTTGCCCTCGTATTTGGCATTTTATCCATTATCCTAGTTTCCTTGACAGCAGGTCTCCAAAATCTTCTTCCCTGACAGGTTGGCCAGTAGTAATAAACACTTAAGAACAGCAATAGCACCATAGCAGAGGCAACGCTATGTCTTCCAATTTCAGTACATTTTACAGATGTTGAAAACACGCTTTCAAATAACTCACTATGCATAACTACCAATTGCTATCTTTGTCTTATAAATGCTTGAATAAATAGCCTAAAAATGCATAGAAAATTAGCAATCACCGCCAGTAAACTTAAATGCAAGTCAAAATTTTCCACAGGCAGCAAAATCCAGGCATTACAGCCGACAAGCGCATGACCAAAAAGCGGAAGTGAAGAAAACATTCAAGAAATACGAATAATTTTATTCATGAGGTTAGTTTCAAAAGTGGCATTATTCACACATTCTTGTAGGCTACTGTCCATTCTTATTTTCCAGTAAAAACAAAAATATCTTGTTTACGCATGCAGCAAAGTAAAATGGCTTAATACAAACAGATTTCTTAGGAATCTTGTTAACCTAGTAACAAAAATTCTTAGAAATGATAACAAATGTTTTTAAATCTATTGGAAACAATTCAAAGGAAAAAGCAAAATGAGTAAAAGTTGAATAATGGAACAGAAAAATAAGGTTTAAATTTTAGGAAAAATAGGGTGTGTAAAAATATAGAATTGATAGCAGAAGGGAAATTGTGGGTTTGGCTAAATAAGCAAAGTGAAAAAAACTACCCGATTGGCTAAACAAAAGTTAGACTGAGGAAGGGGTGGGCGGCGGGCAAAATGGCGAGACATGACGTTATTGACGTGGCTTCGTGGCCTAGAGACAACGATGTCCTTGTGCATGCGAAATTAAAGTAGCGACTGGAAAGTATCTTGCGAATAAAAGGACCTTTCCGTAAAACAGTAAAATTTAAACCCTGAAATTCAACTTACGAAGCAAAATATATTATTTCCACTATTCTATTTCCTGTGCAAATAAATTATCACTAAACTGATTCTAAATTCCTAATTATCAAAATAAATTTCTACAAAACACAGCACGTTGGCTGTGTGAATAAATAGCTTGTAAATTCAAAATACCAATAAAATTTACTAAACTTCGTTTGAGCGCTGTCTTTTATCGTAGTGAATACTCTCAACGACTTGAATACGAAATCTCGGAGACCTTTTCGGCCATGACTTAGTGTCTGTTTGGTTATCGACCGCCTTTCGCCCAGTTGTCTCGCAAATCGGAGATAGCCGGCCGTGTTTGTTACGTCTTGACGACGTCGGTGTTGACGGTAAAGACTTTGAGAGGTGTCCGTCTATTGAATCGCTCCGTTCAGAGCTGTCCGAGTCTTCCGATCGAACTGACCGGGAGAGTCCGGACCTAGATGGCGCAGATTTACCCTCGAGTTTCTCCATGTTTTTTTCAAATCGAGGTTTTCCATTCCCTCGCATTATGCTCGAAGAATGAACAATAACGGGGATCATTTTAGGTTCATTGCGTCTCGCCAAGTCTTTGTCGAAAGATCGATTTAGCGTTTTGACACCATCCCCGTTTGCCTTTTGTTTTAATTTTGACTGCAAAATAGGCAGGGTTTTTGATCGATGATCTTGAGAAGTGCCTTGAGTATTACTAAGATCGAAACTTATTCCTGGGCCTCCTTCCTTGCTTTTCAAACTTTTTGCGACCGAAGTGGTGCCAGGTTTCGGGATCTTTTTGTCGGTTGATAAATTTTCTAAAGAAGATACCCTTTTTAAGTTTCCGTTGTATGTTTTCCTTTTAAGAGTGTCAGTCGCCAAACCGCGTCCGCTCAAGTGTCTCTGCGAACTGTAAGGAGCTCCGCTATTGTCATCCGTGCAGTTCTCTTTGCAACACTTGGACGATTTTTGCTTGGCACTCTCCAAACACGCACAAATAAAACTGCTGCTACCAGTTCTTAATGGAATACACACACAAGGGTGCTTGTGACCCATGCCACATCTGTGCTTTGGTACGGCAAATATCTGCTTGTTATCTGCGTCGTATCTCGGGAGAACTGCCGTGCTTTCAGAGTCAACGTTTGATGCACACGATGACGTCTCACTCATCGTATCAGCCCTTGAATCTCCTCTTAAGTCACTCTTCCCATCCCTCGTCACATCAGCTTTACCAGAAAAATTTGAGCTATATCTTCGTTGACGCTCGAAGTCTTCTTTCCTTCTTTGTTTTAGATTCCCATTTGGAATGTCTGCAACATCAGCAGAAGATTTACGCCGCAAAACACTTTTGCCGCTTTCCAGTAAAACGTCCCCTACTGACTTAGAGTCAGTTTCGTGCTCTGCACGGCCTCTGTCCAGTTTCTCAGCCGCCCTATCGACATATTTATCAGTTTTTCGCTCAGACTCCCCTGGAGATTTTATAACAAGTAAACGACCTCGTTTCTGGGATGGCTCGTTTCTTTGCGCATTACTTTCTATGTGCGCACCGATAGCCTCTGCCTTAGGGGATGTAATCGAACCAATAATGCTACGCTCATTTTTCTTACGCTGTCTTGACTTTATATGCTCTGAATCATGAGCGCTAATTTCATGCAAATTGATGTAACCAACATTGGAGACTTTATCCGTTGTCGCATAAACATCCGTTGCTTCGAAATGCGGCGACCTCATCGACACAAGTCCAGGATTTTCTACTTTAGATTGCCTGTCATAACCATCGCGTAAATCGTTTGTTTGGACTGAAACACTATTCTGCAACAAATTGCTGTCGTGTGACGATGGTGGACCTTCTGGAAAAAATTCATTATTGAGTCGCTTCGAGTTTTCGATTTTTGGTACCGATCTTAAAATCGTTCCACAGTTGGCTACGCCGACGTGACTCGAAGACACAGAGCTGTTAGTTGGTGTCGGGCTTGTTACCTTGACAACTGGCTGGACATTTGCAGGATTTAGTATTGAATCTTTAACGTCAAAGTCCCCGAAACCGACCGGTGGAGGTATCGACAACGTGGACGTTTCTGAGTCATCATCGTCCAAGAAGCCAGATTTATCGAACTGGGGAGTGTCTGCTAATAACTCCTCTGGTGGCGGTGGTAACAAGTCTATCGTTGACGAGCGTGTAATAAAAGCACTCTCTTTAAATTCGTCGGGCGTTACCTCGCGTAATTTCGGCGCAGCGATTGGTATAAGAGGCAATCTATCGTCTTTTTCTTCGGAGTTGTGGTTCAAGTCCTCAAGACTGTGACTCATTGACCGTTTAACACTGCCGTTAGCAACAGCAGAATTGCAGCGTGACCCGTTTTTAGGACGTCCGGGGCCTCTCCGCAAATCAAACGCCATTGGCGAGCCGTTCTCCATGCGGCCTTCTTCGGCTTCGCTCTCTCGCGATTTGATAAGCGCTTGTCTACGTTTTTCGCGACGACAGTGATCCAGTATGAAACAGACGCTTAGCACAAGTGCAATGAAAATTGACAAAATAACTGCTAGCGCCAAATGCGTTGAATTCGCTAAAATACAAACGATAATTATATAGCTAATGTAATATGTAAGGCAACAGATGAGGTCCATCCAATTTTCAGGGGTTGTTTAAGAAATTACGCAAGCAGAACATTGACAGATGTCAAGGAAGCCTAACGTTCTTAGAAGACCATCTACGTCGAATTTTTGGCTTTACGAAGCGCAAACTTTTCTAAAGAGTTCGAAAAGATCATGACAAAAAAAATTTATGATTAAAATGTGAAAGATTTGGGAAGAATATTTTGAAAAGCTTAAAAGCTATAAGGCTCACCGATGGGCCTAAACCGAGAAAACAAAAGCAGATAAATCAACAATTCTTTTTAAAGAATGACCAGATGGAGACAGTTAATAAACAGAGAACACAACACTGGGTTTCTTTGACTTCACAAAACAGTGCTTTACTTTTGAATTGAGTCTGGAACCTAGTAGGATGACGATTTAAGTGCACCTGCGACCTAAGCCATTCCTATAGAACCCTTTGTACTAACATTTACGACTCTCGTGCAACCAACCTGTGACAAAGCTCTTGTCAGTGACCAAAGAATGTGCTGTTAACAGCCAGTAAAGTGTTGCCTTCTTACCAGCTTGGCGACCCCCGTTTGTTGCAGAAGATGTGTCGATATTCAGGGCAGGACTGTTCTTTCCAGGGGTGGTTCTTTTGACTGATGTTCCAGGGCTGGACACTGGCACGTGAGTTGTAACTGGAGATGAAGAAGAGGTTGTTGAGGAAGATGATTGCGAGGTTGAAGAGGGTGATTGGCTAGATTTAGTTTCTTTAACGTCTGGTCTACGACCTTTGGTAGTATAAATAGGGCTGGTACTCTCTCCTTCAAAATCTCTTGTCCTTATATTCGTACTCTTGCTGGTCTTCTCATTAAAGATTGTTATTGGTTTTAATTTGGTCGACTTTTCAGTTGTCGTTTTTACACGCGTTGTAACTGCACTTGACGTTGTTGTAGGAAAATGGTTATTTGCCATTGTCGATGGGCGAAATTCTATTTGGAAAAAACGGTGAAACGGCAAATAATAAAAGACCGAAAAAAGAGGCAATTATAACTGCAAATTGAAAACGCGATCAATTTTTGAAATTGATGTTTTCTGTGCCGAAATAAATTATTTGAGCAGACACAAATAAGACTTTACTTCCTTGGGTATCTGTCTAGACACATATCTCCATATTTGATAAATTTTCAGCTTTATCGATTACTTCTGATTGCATAAATGAAAATAAAATTAGTGGCGCGCTGCAAGTAGTTTAAAAAATATTACCCAAACGGTTGTCAAAATACTGAGATTAACTTTGAAGAAAGTAAAATTATTAACATGCATCAAAATCAAACATCAAGATTAAAGTCATTTTCAATCCATTTGTAATCAGTTTTGGTTTTTCAACTGTTTTAAAAACTTTCCTACCACATTGGGTATGTAAGACAACATCCAACATGTTTTTCCAAACAATAATCGGTTTGGATAGTAACGTAGAGTCCTAGCTAGATGATATTTGAGATTCAACAAAAAGAAAGTGTAAAGACAGCCTAGGCACATCATTTCAAAATGTAAAAATTCTTAGCAAAAGGAAAAGCTTGAAGTCTTTGAAAATCTGATTTGCAAACTTTGTGATATAGAAATATTTGCTAAGACTTATGCTAAGATCAAGCGGTAGAGTTAGTGCTAAGCGGACATATCTTGGATGAGTTGATGTTGGATAATTCATGCAAAATCATATTTAAAATTGATTAATTCGAGGTAATCTTACCGCAGAGATGTCTGATGTCCAAATAGAAATATTTAGCTTGACAAAACTTGCCAAATCTGTCGTTGTCAATAGTAAACAAGCAGAAATCTCTCCCATTGCAGTCCTTACTGACAATGTTTAACACATCTTTACGACACTGTTCCAGCACCGTTGACGCATCTTTACATAACTCTTGCCCAGGCTCCAGCTCTCCATAAAATGCATAACTGACTCTGATTACATGATTTGCCTCACACTTCAGACGGACGTTATTTCCTTCGCAGCGGACGTTACTTGTTACACCGGTATACTCTGTTGAGAGAAACGAATGACTTACACGATCTTCAAAGCCTGCAAATAGCCGTTGCATACGATAATAATATTTGTGCTACAGTGCTACAATAGATCAACAAAGAAAAGATTTTAATGGCACCGCTCTCCAAAATTTGCAGTGGGTTTAACAGGCCTTGAAGTCACTAGTTAGTATAACTGATCATTAAATGAACACAAAATGGATTTATAAGTAGCTTTTCTTCTTTATAATCCAGTTGAAGTTAACGGCCTAGTTTCTGTTAACGGAAGTTGAAGTTAACGGAAATTATTTCAAATTTTACGACCAATAAACTAAACCATTATTGATACCAAATTTCAAGGCTGAAAAACCAGTGAAATTTTATGAACATACTGAGGTACCATTGAGCCTGGAGGTATCCATCTCCCGAAAGTAGCAATGATGAATAGAACTTACATCCAGGTGCAGATAGTATATACTCCAAGGAAAACAAGGTGAACTGGGGAAAGAAGCACTTGATCGTATGGCAATAGGACATGATAGCAATGGTTTTCAACTTAACGACATTAGCTGGACTTTCTCTGCATCCGCAAATTAATCGATTTTAGCATTGATACATACCTGTAGGCGATAAAGTGCACTTTCCATAACAGTTCGTCAGAAGATTATCAAAAAAGGTTTGATAAACAATCCTATGTGTTGTTGATGCTAAAAGAAGAACACGTTTTTGGGTCATTTTTTTAGAAAACAAAGACTATTTGATACAAATTAAAAGCCTCAGTTCTATAACAAGATTTAAAAGATTCTGTCTTAATGTGAAGGATTTGAATCTTTGAGTCAATTTGCTTATCTTCTTTAAAGCGGTTACAACATCTATCTTAGGAAATCTTCAAGCTACCAAGAAATAAATCTTCGCAGAATTTTCTATCAATCGAGCCTTGTGGTGTCATGGTAGAAGCTAAAAGTTGTTAACCAGAAGAATGTTGGTTATGGAACAACGGAATTTGAAAATCTGAACTTCTCTCTTTAAGGTATATTATACCTGTTAACACGGGACCGATTTCATGACATGACTTACTCGTGTCATACCTTGACTGTCAGTTACTAAGAAACCTTAGAAGTTTCCATGGGAAAAACCACAAAATGGTCGATGAATCTGAGCGGTATTGCGCAACAAGAGAAAAAGATATGAAAGATAAGAGTGAATCACTAAATCGAATTTACAAGAAGTGGTTTCTGTCATGGCTTGGTGTTTGAACTAAAACGCTTGGACGTCAAAAACTAATGAAGGTTTGATAAATTTAAATAAACCACCAGAATTTGAGTGTGGCTTCCTTTCTGTTCTAATCTAAATTCGATCAATGTACGGTTTAAGGCGAATCGTTTCTGTATTAAATAATAGTTAGTTGTTTTAAAAACAAAGTTTTCATATCCATCATAATCAGTATCCACCAGCTGCTTGTGGCAACGCCTGACCAACGATTAGTTTGTGGCTAAATTTAATCTCGCTGTATTTCGATTCACCTCTTAAAGCTGTCAAACAAGTGCCAATTTTACCGAAACTAATCCGTGCCTTGTATGATTCAAAGTTAAAATGACGTCATTTGTCACAGCCGCACCTAGACATGGTGCAAATCACGGGTATCTTCAACAGATGCATGAAGAATGCTTTTATTGGAAGCTTTGTTACCTCAGTGAACATCACATTATTTGTGTCCCAACTATTTGAAAAATGACCGAAATGTTGTACTTGTTATACTTTTGTACGTCACTCTGACGTCACATGGTTTTGGCGTAGGAATAAGCATGTTTTTACCAAATCCTGTTCAAGTCGATTTTCAAAGATAACCTCATATTCCTTATGAATACCACAACAGAACGAAGGTCAACAATAACAATAACACAATCATCTCAAAAATATGGATACATTGATAAAGTCAATATTTGCAGTTCTCCTTTCAGACTAGAACCTTATACGGGATTTTCAATATCAGAAATTTCTTGTCTTTAAGAATTAAATTTTCCAGACGTTTTTAACAAAATGCTATCAACACAAAAATTCATCAGTTTATAACTTTCAACCAGTATATAAACAAAAACATGAAGCAGTTTTTCAGCCTGTGTTAAAAGCTATGGGTGGTAAAATTGGTTCGATAAAAAAGTTTAGTTTCATTTGAAGGAAATGATTAAATGGAACAAGTTACTTGCGAAAGTTGATGTTGCTCAGCGCTCTTTTCTAGCACTCTTTCTTTTTAATTTTCAAGTTTTCACAAAGAGCATGTCTCTGTTGTTAAGTAATAGCCAATGGTTGACGGACTTGAGATATTTAATCTATCATCGCGGTGCTGATGTTACGATCAAGTGTTAACTTTCAGGAGAATAATGTTTTAATTTTCAAAACGAATCATTCACAGACTATAAAAATTGACGCAATAACCGATAGTTTCAAATCAATTCCAACCCTTTCAAGGAGATTTCATCTAGCTAATGCGATGTACAATGAATTTAAAAACAGGCACATGACTGCCTTTAAACGCAGTACTATAGAACTGAATGCTTATGATCAGAAAGGTGGTCAACAATATGTCAAACTTGAATTCATAGATAGTAAACTTCAACACGGCGAAAATTCACATTTACTTACTAATGGGACTAGGAGGGCTCCCCCAATCAAGGCTTAGCCAAAATAGCTGTTGTTTCTAATACCTTGCAAGAGGGAACCGAAAGATAATAAGTAACCCTACATATTTAAATGGTCTCGTGACAATACAACACAGGTATATCCTAGACCTTCTAAAGTCATCAAAGGTAATTTCTGAAATGGTGAAAACTACATTTTTCTGATTGACAGGGCAAATTCGCTTATCCAAACAACTCTCGTCGTCTTATTTGCGATAAAAATAGAGATTATTAAAATGAATAGCCGTAATAAAATTCCGAAATTGGATTGCCTAGTTTATGTTTATTTATTTGTATTGATTAGGTCTTAATCCAATCTTACAAAGTTCAATGTACAATTCGTCTGGTTTTGAACCCTTACAAGCAATCTGTTTCTCGTTTAAGTTTTGCCAAGGCTTAAAATTTCAAATTATAAGATTATTTCCATCTCTATCAAATGGTGAACGTTAAGTTTGCTTTCTTGAATATAAGAAGTCCTTTGATACTCAGATGAAGGTATCTAGCCAGAATGTAGTCAATTAGTCGATTCTATGGCGATCAATCATCCATTGATTTGCCAAAGATTTTCCGATGCAACTGCTTTCCCTAATCCAATTTATTTCTCTGTCAGAACGTTTTCCGTGTTGTTTTCGTTCTGCTTGTGACTGAAACGCGATTATTTTCTTCTATTTACAGATGATGAACCGTGAATTGTGATAGCAGATTCTTTCTCCTATCTTTACTTAGCAAGGGAAAAAGCTGAAAAAGTGTAAAACGTGCAAGTTAGAGACAACGGCGGCCCTGTTTTTAAACCCCCTTCAGGCAATTATGACCACCGAAGAAATTAGGGTACCAAAAAGTTGGTACTCAGGTCTTGCCAAGAGGACATCGGGATCTTCCCCCTTTTGTATGCCAAAATGAAATGAAGGAAAAGAGTGCCCTTCCAATATTTGTTGATAGCACTTAAGCCGACCATTTCCACCATAGAAGTAGCACTCAAAAGGGGGACTATATTGGTAGACTAAATTGGGGCATTTTACCAATAAAGTGTATTCTTGATCACGATTAATCACGATTAATTACCTTTAATCATGATTAATCACACTCTTCAATTTTTAAAAAATCTACTGCTAATAATTCAGAACCTAAAACTCAGCGATTGCACGACACTTCTTTGTCAAGTCACTTAAAAGGTCCAAATATAAAACTGCGAGCGTTAAATTGCCACCTCGAACTAACGAAAATTGATGAATTTATGAAAAATTTTGTTGCCTATAAACCCCAGAAATTAAGACCGTGTACAAACCTGCGGTACCATACAAGACCATCTATTCCCTGCGATAAACAGAATCTTCCACAGAACGTAAATTTATACTGTTGAAGAATAACTTCCAAATGGAAGAGCAAAGGCAATTACTACGAATCGAACAAATCAAATTCAAGATGTCGTCTTTTTATGGTCAAATTTGTCGGTAATTTGTCTACATGCCATTTTGAGGATTGCTTCAACTCGAAACATAACAAAAAGTTGAAGTAATTAGCATGGCAAAGCAAACGCTGAAGCAGCAAGCGAACAAGCAATTAATTGAAATTTTTAGCAATTTAATGATATTTCATAATCTGCAAGAATGTTTTAGAGTCTTGTTGATACGAAACAATTGTTGTGGAATTTAGAAACGAAACATATAGAGACAAAAACCATATGAATGGAACATTTAGGCTTGTGCTTTATTAAATGGACAAAATGCAGGCAGAACTCTCAGTTCAGGAAATACATGCCTTGGAAACATGTAGGCACACCGTTGAACACTAAGCAATGATTATACTGTACCCAGCAGACTTAAAAACAGCCCTGATTAAAAAAATGGTCATTTTTCCTTACAATCCTGGTAGAGAAATATCAATCTTTGACGATTTGTGGGTAGATTCAAAAATGATTTGAAATACCTGATTCGAGAGTTCTGATTTCTTGAAGTAGCAATACAAAAGTGCTGAGGATTATGTTCACCAACATGATCAGTTCAGCTGGTTGTGGAAATTCCTGATAGCTCCTGGATTTGCAGGATTCTTGACCAAAATCTCTGATTACGAAAACCACGTTGAGGAATTATTCACCAAGTTTCCAAACATCGTCTTCTAGTCAGGTGCCAAGTTTCTGTGAAGAGCTTTTTCGTTGACTTCTAATTCCCTTCAGATCACAATGGTTCTGGAAACAGACAATAGATTTTTCTTGAACTCTCATTGAAAGGAATCTTTAAGTGAATGAGAATAATTGAGCCTTAACCACGGCACACTGGTAATCAGAAATTCATCGTTTGTAATCAGAAATTCATCGTTGCATTGTAAAATGCCTAATATGAGAAGATATCAGGGAAGAATATTTCTCTTCAAAGCTGAAATAATCATGATATCAATGACTTCGCTATTCTAAAAAGCAGGGTTTGAGAATTTATGATATACAAGAAATTGTCTTCTTACCAGATTTTAAAACTCTAAATGCTGAAAATCTGAAACGTTACTTTTGGAACTGAGCGACCGAAATGAATTTGTCTTTGAACTTGAATTTATCAATGAAATCATTATTTGAGACTGTGAGTTCGACTAGACGCGGCAAAATCTCTTTGATCGGCTTTCTGAGATCCCTGGTCTGAATTTAAACTTAGAAGATAACCTTTACGCGCTTCTATTTTGAAACTCGCTTTCCAGTTGATTTGCCTATCTAATAATTCTTTAAGCAAAAATTTCAGTAATAAAAGATACAGAAAGGTTTTCAGATCAAATTCAATTCATAAAACAGCAGCGAAATTTTCCTGTTTCTATGTAACTTTTCTTCCGGTGGGTGTTTTGTAAAGAAGTGTCTCAATACCAACTGATGATACCAGAAGCTGTTTGAGATAATTGCAAACTTTGCTAATGGAGAAATTCCACAAAGGAGATCGGATTTAAAGCAGTTAACAAGAAGCCAAGTACACCTATCTTCATAGACGCCTTGGAGATAACTGAGTTGCAGTCAAGAAAAATACTATGATCGAAGTACAAAGAAACCTTCCAACAGGATTTGAAAGAACTTAAAAGCATAATTAATAACCCACAGAAGGCATAAACTTCACGATACAAGTCATTTTTAGCAATCAACTTAAATCCCAAGAAAACGAGAATTACATGGCATTCAAAGACTTTCTAATGACTACACATTTTCCGCTTGTTTTTCTTTGTTTACATTCCTTCCTTCGCCTTCTTTCTTTTCCTTTTCGTTTCAATTACACTTTCTTCCGTTTCTACAAAGGCCACCACCAGCTTGTTTCCATACTTCTTCATAAACATCATCGCTTTTTACATCACCTTATCTCAACATCTTCCTGCACATTACATCAGGTAATAAACTAGGCTACATAGGATTCAAAACTTTTGTTGTTTATTTGAAACAGCTAGCCAGCCTAGGCGATGTTCAAAAACTTAGATCAGCCAGAGTTTGCCTTTAATTCTAAGATATTTTGGATGATAATTACTACATCCACCAGACTGTTTGACGATTCTATACTAGATTGTTTACAATCTAGCATAATGTCAGCATCGTCATAATGTCAAACAAAAACACATGCTGATATTGAGTACATGTTTCAGGTCTTCTGTAGTGTACTGTAATGTACTTTACTGTAGTGTACTTTACTGTAGTGTACTTTACTGTAGTGTACTTTACTGTAGTGTACTTTACTGTAGTGTTCTTTACTGTAGTGTACTGTAGTGTACTGTAGTGTACTGTAGTGTACTGTAGTGTACTTTACTGTAATGTACTTTACTGTAGTGTACTTTACTTTAGTGTACTTTACTGTAGTGTACTTTACTGTAGTGTACTTTACTGTAGTGTACTTTACTGTAGTGTACTTTACTGTAGTGTACTTTACTGTAGTGTACTTTACTTTAGTGTACTTTACTGTAGTGTACTTTACTGTAGTGTACTTTACTGTAGTGTACTGTAGTGTACTGTAGTGTACTGTAGTGTACTTTACTGTAGTGTACTGTAGTGTACTTTACTGTAGTGTACTGTAGTGTACTTTACTGTTTACTGAGTGTAGTGTACGTAGTGTACTTTACTGTAGTGTACTGTAGTGTACTTTACTGTAGTGTACTGTAGTGTACTTTACTGTAGTGTACTGTAGTGTACTTTACTGTAGTGTACTGTAGTGTACTTTACTGTAGTGTACTGTAGTGTACTTTTCTGTAGTGTAACTGTAGTGTACTTTACTGTAGTGTACTGTAGTGTACTTTACTGTAGTGTACTGTAGTGTACTTTACTGTAGTGTCACTGTAGTGTACTTTACTGTAGTGTACTGTAGTGTACTTTACTGTAGTGTACTGTAGTGTACTTTACTGTAGTGTACTGTAGTGTACTTTACTTTAGTGTACTGTAGTGTACTTTACTGTAGTGTACTGTAGTGTACTTTACTGTAGTGTACTGTAGTGTACTTTACTGTAGTGTACTGTAGTGTACTTTACTGTAGTGTACTGTAGTGTACTTTACTGTAGTGTACTGTAGTGTACTGTAGTACACTGTAGTACACTGTGGTGTACTGTAGTGTACTGTAGTGTACTGTAGTGCACTATAGTTTACTGTAGTTTACTGTAGTTTAATGTAGTGTACTGTGGTGTACTGTAGTGTACCGTAGTGTACCGTACCGTACCGTACCGTACCGTACCGTATCGTATCGTACCGTACCGTACCGAAACCGTACCGTACCGAAACCGTACTGTACCGTACCGTACCGAAACCGTACTGTACCGTACCGTACCGAAACCGTACTGTACCGTACCGTACCGAAACCGTACTGTACCGTACCGTACCGAAACCGTACTGTACCGTACCGTACCGAAACCGTACTGTACCGTACTGTACCGTCCTGTACTTTGTAAAAAATACCTTTTTAGGATCGGCATGATCTAGGAACTTTTCCAATACTTTCTTTGATGGTATGAATTACATTTGACTAGATCAACGATCCTCGCGAGGAAGTCACTTGCTTAGTTCAGCAACTCTCCAGAGGCAATGAATATTTTGGGCAACGGTCATGGCAGAATATCCTTAAGATCCCAATAGCCAGATTCTACCAATGTTTTTCGCTGCTTTAATGTCAAGGGTTTCGCCTCCAATGCAACCAAATTTGGAGGTTTAGCTATAGGAAATGGGAGCTTCCAACATTTCACTGTTACTTCAATATGACCTCAAACCTTTAATACCCTACAGGTCAAATATGTCGCTCGCTACAAAAGCGGCCTATAAAGGGCTCGTGACCTAACATAACAGCGGTCAACCATTCAGTCGTTTTTATAACGGCGTCTGTGATTTATTTACGTTTGTATAGATGTAGACGACTGGTAATCAATGAATAAGACGAAAGAGCAGAATGCTTTAAGAGCTTGAAAAATGAAAACTTTTCTTGGAATATGCTGTATCAAGCACCCGGAAATTCAAGCAGGCAAGGCTACAGAGTCTATATGGGATGTCAGATGCGGAGGGGAGAGGAGGGGGCAAGTCGTGGTTATTTTGATAGAATAGGCTATTATCCATTGTCTTTGATAGGTATTGTCTTGGACCAAGAGATCTAAAAGGGTTAGAGGGGCATCGGCCACCCCTATAATAAAAACGCTCATGTCATCTCAGAAACTTAGGATAGTTTTACAAGCAAGTTAGGATAGAAACTTAGGATAGGCCGGGCAAGCAAGAATAGTTTTACAGATGTTGGGGATTTTTACAATGATAAGAAGCAAAAAGATGTGAAGATGATGCCACTTTTAATCAGACCCTGTAAAGCGATAGCTTCTGATATAGGCGGGCAGGTAATAGAAGATTATAATAATGGCTTGTTATAAAATAAGTGCTTTTAACGTTACAAAACTTGGACATCTGGTGACCTAACAGGACGATACAACCAATATATTAACATATCACAGTTACGCTATGAAATTCACATTGCTGCCTTATATTGTAATTTAACAAAGTTAAGTACCAATTTACATGCATTACCAATCCGATTGAAGTAAAATAGAAAAAAACGGAAGTTCGGACCAAACATTGCATAAATTAATTTTTTGAATATTTTGATAATTGGATAAGGGAGCGGTTGAAAATATTGGACGATGCTAAAGCATATCGATAGTTATGTTGATTATGATGATCACAGTCGTAACAGTAATAATGATCATGTCATTTGCAATATATAATGATTTTGATTGCATGGTATTGTGATGTTGATGGCAAACATCATCATGATGAGAATAGTGATCGCAGGATACCGATCATCATAATGTTCTAGGTTATGCGGAGCTGCGCCACTGATCCTAAACTAGAGGGACCATCAATGAAAATAAAGTATGTGGCAAACCCCCTCTCTAGCCCTAATTGTGGCAAACATTGTGATGATGGTGTCTTGGTTGTGTACTTCAGTTAAATCTTTTTGTTGTAATCTTAAGGTTTATCTTTATAAATAATTTAAACTGATTTTATCCTTATAATTAGTGAAAATGGATATTTAGTAATCTTATCCGTGGCCACCCTCCCTGCCCCCCCCCCCTGTGGCGCGGGCCTTGTTATGAATTCCTTTATTGGGTGTGAGATAGGCTCAATGGTTAGGGTCGCGGACTACAGTCAAAGGGTCTGTGATTTGAGCCACTAGTTAGTGTAAGGAAACATTCATTTGGAGTGTGGAGTGAGGGAAGTCGCCAGCTCTTTTCCAGGCATAGGAATCACAAGTTGTGGTTTCTGTGAGAGGACACTGGTCAATAGAGTAAATGTAAGCATAACTTCTCAGTGTCCTAAAAACTTTTGAAGCTAGGCAATAACAAATACATATACATTGGATTGGAGGAGCTGGGGAAAATGAGAAAAGGTAGTATCTTTCAATGTATTCTACAAAGGCGGTAAGTTAAAACTATTTACCTAGAGAACAGGTCAATTTTTGCAAAATAAAAGATGCTTTCCTCATTACATTCCTCTACATAATAGTAACCTGACTTTGTCACTGGCTCAAACGCATGCCATATTTGATTTAGTCATGCCATATTTGTTATTAGCCATGCCATATTTGATATTATTCATCCCATTTTTGATAAAAGTCATACCATATTTGATATCAGTAAAAACCTAGACTGTAAGGAATTGAGCTTATAGCCAAGTACGTTCAAACAAAAGAGGCAAAGTGTGCTGTCTGTACATACTTGATTTTAGCAAAGCATTAACAATGTAAAGAACCCATGGATATTCAAGCAATAAGCCGTAGCTAATTCTAGTGAAATGTCTTCTCTTCTTCACTTTTCTTGAAATCACACCAGCCTACTTAAGGTTTTATCCAAGGTTGTTTAAAAATAGTTCTATATATTAAGAAGCGACTTTGAGCAGATTTAAAGACCATCAACATTTTATCATTTCTTTGGATAAATTAAGTTCTATGGCGTGCATGCATGTTCTTGATAAAGAATGATTTGATATTTGAAGACTTGACGGCTCTTGAATTCTTAAATTGACATTTCGTTACACAAAGAACATAAAAAACCTGTCGATCCTAGAAGCTCAATCTACATGTTAAGCATCTTCATAAATCTTCCTACGTGCTTATCAACAAGTTACAAGAAAAGCTTGAATTCAATTTTGTTTTGTCTAAAGCTTTTTAATGACTTGAGCTTTGTATAAATTCAAGTAGCAGACGGCCAATCGTTAAAATTACATAAATCACTTCTACTGCCAACTCAAAACCGATCAATTCTTGTAATCTTTGAGATAGAGAAACAAAGGAGATGAAAAATTAACGCACCTCAGTAATTTCGTCTGCAAACTGCCGTTGAGCTATAAAATTCATTGACCTCATATACACCCCGCATATACAATCATAAATTTCATTTGCCCAAAGGTTTGAAATGAATGGCAACGCTCTCGTCCTGCAAGAAGCGAGTGGTCTCAGAGTAGCTCTTACTAGTGACGATAATTAATTCATGATTAATAGATAGCTCGAAGGAGCTAAGTTGCTTTTGACTTAACAGATTCAAACAGTTGTTTCAACGCAAACCAAGCAACTGTCGATGAAAGCGTATCCTTGCAACTCTCTTTTGCTAACAATGTATGAAGCTCCGAAATACAGCAGAAATTGATCGATATTTTACACAAACAAACTTCCTGGTGATGACGATCTCTTGATTATTCATCCACTGGTCTGGTGAAATCTTGCAACTTTAAACGATCTTGTAATAACATAATCTTTTTTCAACTATGAACACTCCAGAGCTTGCAAATCAAACATAATTAGTTGTGACTTCTTACATAAAGCACGGTCTCTTCGTTGCACTAGCATCCATCAATAATATTTCTACAAAACCCTGCAGAGCCCCTGTGACTGCTATGATTCGATTCACGAGGAGACCGAGGTGACTTTTCGTTGATTCGAGAGGTGGATTCAATAATAATCCCAAATCTAGCCTCAGAGCGGTTTCCCAGCCACCTGCATCCTCAATACCTCGAACAATAACAGTTATGAAATGAATGCACAACCAATCGTGCAGGTTCTTCAACCTATTCAAAAACCCGTCAATCAGACATTTAATCCTCGAAGTGAAATCCCCAATACATCGGTTTTCGACCTAAGATAAATAACTTGGATGAATGATAAATAACTTATTATTAGCAAGAGGACAGAGCTGAGAGCAGGCGAACAAAGGAGGGGGCCGGGGGCAGATTGCCTTAGGGGCCCTAAAAGTTTAACACGATTTTTAAATTCAATTTAAAACGATAAAACTTTGTCATATTTTGAATGCTAATAATGATGTGTTTGAATTAAAGAGACTTCTCTGATTTCTGTTGACGCATAAGTAGCTGTCGCTGGTGGTGTCCTAACAATAACAAAACAATAATTACAACAATTAGCCTTTAATAATTTACGTGTATTTATTGTTGTTCATTCTCGCCGTATTGCGGTGTTTCTTATTTGCAACAATTACAACCACAGTTTAATGACGTCTTCAAGGACCCCATCTTTCTCTGTGCCCCAGGCCTCAGGAAAAATATCGGCTGGGTGAACTTTAGACTAAGGATTGGTTGCTTAATGTTCAGTGATCACAGCAGATAGGCAGGGCCGTTGTTATTTCTGTCTTAGGAGGGCTTGTGCCCTTCAAAAATCATAAGGATCCTTTGTTGCCCATGAAAAATTACAGTTATTTCTACTGTTCTCATACAATAGGGTTCCTTCAAACATTCATTCTTTCATACGGTACTTTTTTAGCTCAACATCGCAGAGTACAAAGCCAATCGTTAGCGCTACACTGCAACGTATTAATGACGAAAGGGGTCATGTAATGTTTAGGTTTAGTTTTGATAATTTATATTCTTAATGAGGTAATGTTCTTTTTTTACTGTAACTTCTTCAAATGTATTTGTCAATGAAAACTGAGACTGGAACTGTTCAACTCAAAGTGAATGTGCTCATTACAGGTCTAAAAATCACAGTGTTTTCTATCTCTCGGCCCCTATATGATTTTGCCTACTGTCACTAATTATGAATTTTTAGGAGTACTATTAGGTAGTCTTTGAGAGTAATTAGGCTAATAACCCTAAATATGGGGGGAAAACTCAATGACTTTTGGAGTAATATCCCTAAATACCAGGTAGTACCTTGAGAATATTTAAAGGTTGATATCGCTAAACATCAGGCACTATCTCAAGGGTTTTTAGGATAATACCCCTAAATATCCGTTGTTTTTTTGAGAGTTTTTAAGGATAATATCCCTAAATATAAGATAGTGCCTAGAGGGCTCAAAAGGCCAATATCCCCAAACATCAGGTAATATCTCAAGGATATTTAAAATCAACACCCCTTGATATCATGTAGTACCTGGACAGCTCAAGAAAAACGGTCCTTAATATAAAAAACAACATCAGGAAATTTAATGAGTATTTTAAGACATGTTTCTAGTATACAGAAGGCCGAAGGTTATCAAGAAAACCTTTTGCTTGATGCTTTCTAGAAATTGCTACACAAGAGTTTCCCTTGTGCTTAAGGAACTTTGATAGCCAAAAGATCATGAGAAATATTGACAATGGACTTGTGGACAGAAAACCTGGTCGAAGAAAATTGTCATATTTTGTGCAACAAGTCACCAAAATAAATATTTCTATGCTGCTGTAACAACATTGCTAAGTAGTCAGACTTTCCGTTTATTGGTTGCATTGTTAACTTTTCCTTTACAAAGCTGCTACTCCAAATCATAACAAAAATTGCACGAATAACCTTCGATTCTATCGTTTTCCAAGTTATGAAGTTAAAATCGCCCGATGATTCCTGAAAAAATTCTTATTCATAATTTTCAACACAACGATCAAAGATTTTTCAACATAAGGAGCTATGGAAATATTTATGGAAATATCAAAGTTATTATGGTATGGCCATACTTAATTAATTAACATCTTATACCCGACATTCCTAAGTAACAGAGAAAATATTTCTTCGCAAAATTCCTCTATTAGAGCCAGCCTTCAGCCAAACAATATTAGAGACAGTAACCCTGGTCCGGTGCAAGGATTAACATCTGCATACATCTGCGAGAACCCGACCTAACAAAACATTGTGCGGTACCAACCAACAGTTCATAATATTGAAAAGCATCTCCTCACTCATATGTAACAGCCTCGTTTCTAGTGGTAGTCGATATATTCAAGATATCTTATCTAAGAACAAATTTTTGGAGGAGAATTGTATTGCAAACGAGGTTGTTGTTGGATTCGAGTGCGCAAAGAAAGTATGACCTTAGCCCGAGAAGTAGAGTTTGACCTAAGAATTTGCAAGAGGCGAATCGCAATCTGATTTCTGATGAACAGAGCTTTATTTCAACTGTGTGTAGAGATATAAACACTTTGCTTTATAAAATATTTACCGGTGCATCTGTTATCATTAATACAAGTAACTGTTTGGCGGTCACTATGAAGTATAGTTTTTTAAATATTTAAGAGCAACAGAAAGAAGATAACATAAAGAATATTCCAGTAGATCTTACAAGACCAAGACGTGGAAAGGAGCTGGCTGTTCTGCGGAGGGACCAATTTTGAGATGCAATAGCTTAAATAAGACCAATTACATGCATACATAATTCTCATGTTTGCTACGCTACGTAATGAGCAGGCACCTAAGCTTGATCAAGCTATGATGTAAAGCTTTTGATTAGAAATGTAGGATGAAGGTGATGCAGAGCATGATTGACACTGTGCTAATTAACTGTAGTCGGTGATTATGTTGATTAGTGATGATTATGGTTATCACCATAAGCATCATCCTGATCATCATGATACAACCTTATGATTATTTTGACGATTATGGTCATAATAATCACATTGACGATCACTTTAATCATAATGACGATCGATCATTGTAATCGCAATGGCAATCATCATGTTCAATACGGCGATCATTATAAAGATCACGAAGACGATCATAATAACGATCACGAAGACGATCATAATAACGATCACAAAGACGATCATAATAACGATCACGAAGACGATCATAATAACGATCACGGACATGATCATAATAACTTTCACAGAGACGATCATAATAACGATCACGATGGCGATCATGATTAGCATTATGCTGGGTATTTGATTATGCTGGAAAGCTATAAGCTACGTAGGCCTACAAGCCTTACTATAACAAAGTGACTTTGTAATATTGTTGTGAAAACAAGTTCAATGAAGCAAAAACAATTTCGCTCCTTTAAATACAAAACAGGCTTCGAGAGTGAACTTTATAAGATACCATGCAATTCTGAACAGCAGCAAACTAAGGTGACATCAAAGCATTCCTTTGTTTCAAAATTTTGTGATTCATAGTTTTTCAAAGAATTCGAAAACTTCTTAGAAATTGCAAGCCGAAAACAAGGATCTTAAGCTTTTGCAAATACAATGTATTTAAATTGAATAAAATCAAGGAATTTGTTGGGAACATAAAAAATATTTGCTATTTGCATGAAAATTTAATGCTGTAGTATCCATAATTTTTAGACCACAAGATCACTAGGTACTGAATAAATCATAAGACACAGGACCTCATTCATCTATATAGCTATGGGTTGGTCAATGTATTTGAAGTTAAAGCTATTTCTTTCGTTTGGGAATCAGGAGTTCTTAATCTACAATCTTAATGATAAGGATACTCAAAAAATTCATCGAATGTGATTTCCCCAACTACAGCAGGTTTATTAAACTTTTTGGCCAAAGTGTGCCTAACCTAGTGATGCATAACCGCAGATAAACAATGAGGATTTTGTTCCATTTAAATAAACAATTGAAGATTAATTATTCATTCAACACCAAACATCATTTTAATATCATAAAAAAGAACTTGAAACAGAATTCTATGTGACATTCAATGGTAATAAAAAAATTTAGGTAAAGCATTTGAAATCGAATCAAGGCAATAAACAGGCATCTCTTACAAGAAGCACTTCTTAAAGAGACTGGAATCTAGAAGCACAAAGAAGAAGTAATTTTAGTAGTTAGAATGGCGACCCATAAGAAACCATAATTTTCATTTCATCAAGGCAATGGCTGTTCGCTGTCACCAAACCAAAGGAATCCTCTGAAGTTTAGTCTGGTCCGTAAAAATCACAACAGATTCTAGTGTAAACTTTTAATTAGCATATTAATATAAACAAAACCATCTGGTTCTGACGATCTTCTCTGATTAAATATAATCGAAATCTCCTAATTTGCTTATTTTACAAGCCTGATTGTCGCCCAAGAAACTTACGATAATTTCATGACAAAACAGACAAATAATTAGGAAACCGCGTTCGTCATAAGATGAATAGCTATATCAAGAAGATAGATTTGAAAGTGAGATTGCTTGTAAAGACTTTCTGCAGCGAGAGGCAAAGAACACGAATTCTCATCACCAATGACTGATCAACTAATGGCCACTGGTTGTTATCATGAACTTCTAATGAAGGTAAATTTGACAATCTTGATATAACTCACATATACTCCGCAGGGTTAAAAAGAGTTCCGATAGGAAAAATCCATCGAGTATGAAGCCAGAATTAAAGGAAAGGGTGAGAGGTTTCCATAACAAAGTGTCTCGAAGAACCTTTCCCTTAATTATAAGAAACTGTATACAAGAAAACTCCATCAAGATCAAACTGACAACTTTTAATGCCTATGTAGCAAGTGTATTTTTGTATTATAGCGAACTGTGGACACTAACGAAGAAGCTAGAAAACACCATCGACACCTTCCAACGTAGACACCTAAGAAAGATCCTAGGAATTAACTGGCAAAAAAATATTACCAACAACGAGCTCTATGCCAGAACAAAATGTGAACCATGGAGTGAAATAATAAGAGAAAGGAGACTAACATGGCTAGGACATCTCGTGCGCTTGCATCCAGAAACACCAGCAAGGAAAACTCTTAAAGAATATCTCGGGAAAGTAAAACGGCCACAAGGAAAACCAAAGACGACCTGGATGCAGACAGTAAGGCAAGATTTGGCCAGCATCGGAATTAAACTGGATTTCCCAAAAGGAGCACAAACATTGAATAGATTATCTGAACTGACACAGGACAGAAAGAACTGGCGTGGCATTGTGAAACGCATCGTGCAGTATTAACTGCGTGTGACGTCTTATTAGTAGTAGTACACAATAATAGTACGAGATTGCTTACATGTACATTTTAACCAAAAAAGGGATTCAAAAAAATTTTTGACGGTGTTCTGCAGTCAACATACATTCTGGAGAACTATTAACAATGAGATTAATGTTTGATGAAGGCTGCATAACACGAAATTTTGGTATGTTGCTAAGAATGAGCAAAAGCATAAGTACATAAATGAATCTAGCTAAACAATCTCCAAAAAGTTTTTTTAAAAAGATATAATTTTTTCATCAACTTTGCTTGCTGTAATTAGCTTCCCAGATTAAAAGATTTTCAGAATACTTAGGGGCACATCTTTTTTGTCAAACAAATGGCGAGCATAGAATAAATCATCTTAACTATATTTTAATAACTGGATTTGTTCTTGAGTATATCATGAATTCAAAATCTAAAATCATTTCAACCATGATGATCTGAAATCTTTTTGGTAATGTTATGCCGAGTTTACGATAATGGTACAATCCTATCCGATTCGCTTTATTAATATTACAAGAAAAATAGATCCTATTGGATTTAGAAGATAATGACATTTCCAATGGAAAAAAATCCTCCCTTGAAAAATTGAGTGGAAATTATTGATATAGAAAAGTGAAACCCAATGAGCTGTGGTTCCTATACTCATCTTGAAGATCAGTCTGGATTGTAACCCTACGGTGAACCAAGACCAAATCTTAAATCATCCTAAATAAATCTTATGAAATCTTTGACGTATGGGCCTTAATCAGATAAAGATAGTTTTGTGATTTCAAATCAAAGTTTTCTTCATTTCTTGATTTTTTCAAATCTGAAACTAGTTTCCATTTGTTGCTACTGTCTCTACTAAACTGCAACACGACTTTTTCAAGATTTGAAAAATCAGAAAAACTTAAGGTCATAATCTCAGGCCTGGATATAATGTCAGGTCAGCCACAAGAAGTTTAGTTTACAAATGGTTGTCAATAACTGTATTTAAGATTTTTTCTTCTGGAATCATAAAAAGTATTGGAATGTACAAAAATGGTCTTATAAAGCGATCTGTTAACTTACGCCGTAGTATTTCAGGTCTTTTTCACAAATTGACTGTTGGCATCAAAAGTGGCAGCCTAAAGATAATTAGATATTTTTAAAACCAAGTCTTGTGATATAAATCCTAGATCAATAGTAGTTCTTTACACAAAAAAACACCAAAGATATAGGAAATTGTTTGAAGTTAAGTGTAGGGGGTACATGATTATTAAGTTTTCGAAAAATATCAATACTATTTCATTTAAGATGCTACAAGCAGGCTTAGGAAAGTAATGGGTTCTGAACTGGCCGAGCTAGCCTGCAAATCAAAATCACTACAAAAAAGCACACTAAAATCAAATTCAAAGAAAAAACCCCGGGCTGTGGTGAAAAAGAGAGGTTTAGAAATATGGTATCAACCTTCAATGAAACACGACGTCTTCTAGAAATCGAGAAAAATATCTAGAAGTTTCATTATCCAACTGTTCCTGTGGCCTCTGCGAGCAATACATACATATAATCTGTTACGAAAAGAACAGACACGCTTGATTTTCTTAGGGATCTTGTTGCTGTTGAGGAGTTCAAGAAGAAAATTAAGGAATGATTAATACCTGGGTGCGAGTGTTGGTACAATGTGGAAAGCTTCTAAGTTTAGGATGTGACTCCCAAAGTTATGTCTCTAGTAGTCAGTGGAATTTTTGGCGGTGGGGCGAATTTTAGCTAATCTTTGTATGAGAGCTATTTTAATCAAAATAATTACATTTTCTTGGCTTAGTAATTTACAATTTCAATTTATAGCATAAAAACCAGGTTTCTCTAAAAACCTTCCAAAAGTAAGAGCCCTGAGAGTAAAACATTAATAACATGACATGCCTGCTTACAATATATTTATTGAAACGAAATTCTTTGGAAATTCAGTAATGGAAGATATTTCATTTCGTTTTGAATTTCCGGAGATTGTGTTTAGTCTTGATTCCTTACTGCAGATATCAGCAGCAAAATTGGCAGACAAGGTCCATACCACACAATTTAATTGCGATGTTCAGCTGATAAAATTAAATTTTTTAATAATATAATAAAATTACAATAAGAGTATAATTGAAATTATAACGTAAAGTGGTTTTAAATTTGTGCATTCTACTGCTCTCGTTATATAAAAGGTTAAATGTCATTCTAGACAGAAAAAGTTAAATGCTACGCAAGAGATTTGCCTCGAATACTTTGTCGGATCTTCATGAAACTTTCGACAAAATGTGTTCCAAGCTTTGTGAGGAGGCGATCGCCCTGAATCGGCCCCCTCTTAGTCTAAGCCACTGGTATTGAATTTCAATTCCAAACATTAATTCTATTTTTCGATACACTGAGCAAAAAAATTGCCGTTAAGAAATATTTCGATTCCCGCATTTTGATTGGTTAGTGATAACATCTATTTTTGGCAAACAGGAAGAGAATGGAGATCTCCTCTTTGAACTCGGGTTATTCCCTTTTTAAATTTGCTTTGCTTTCACATCTTGGACTATGTAAAAACAAATTTCGTTGTTTTGTTTAGTAAAAAAGGAGAGAAATAAGAAATTTTTATTTTCAAGGTTTTTCTTCTACTTTGTCAAGCAAAAAAATAATTTGTTTTGGTATAAATTTACCTTGTTGAAAAATTCGAGTTACTGTGTCATTTTCAGGTGAAATCATAGAATAATTTGTTTCTTGCTGCCAAAGATTCCTCAAGTTAGATTTTGTCCTCTTTAAGATTATAAGATTTTAAGAATCTAGATTTAAAGATTAAAAAATTGGTTAATGAAAGAAAACTGTTTGAATGTATAGCGGTGTAAATACCTTTTGGTAATTCAACATTAAAATAATACAATACCAAGCTTCTGAATGAAAATATACCAATCTCATAATAAAATGGATAGATGGATTTGAGATTTATAAAAATCGACAAAATATAAAAGCTTTATTTGAGTTAGGCAAATGATCCGAATTCAAAATCAACAATTTCGCTTGCAGGTTTTATGAGAATGACTGATGGAGAATTTCTTCAAGAGAAAAAATGCCGACAACTGAATCATATCAAAGAAGATTTTGGAATGTTTTGAAGTGGATTACGGTCATACTGAATTATATCTGTAATCAAGCGTACCGCTTTTATGGAAAATTGGATATTTATCCAAGGAAAAAGATAAAAATTTCACATAATTGATCTAGGTTAAGTTTGGCATTTTCACCATAGCAAAATATTTATCATTTCATCATGAGATAAAAAAGCATAATTTGGTCCAATCTACGGTATTCCTAGAGCATTGTATTTCAAAAACAGGATATTTCAAAGTTAACAAGCACATTTTATTATTTCACGATGGAGAAAATGAAAAAAACTAAACCCATTGATAGGTGATAGAAAAAGTCGGTAAGATGCGTGGATTTATTATCGAGAAATTGGATCTGATGCAATGGGAAAACATCACAGTTGCAGAATGTTGAAAAACACAGCACGAAAAGGAAAACTGCGATTCAATGGCGTTCTGGGCAAAAACTCTCCCTGGGATACAAAATTTTCCAAGAAAAATATTAGCTTTGGTTTTTCAGTAAATTTTCAATTTTCTGTAGTTCATTGAAAGTCAAGAACGAAAGAAAAACAAAGATAGATATTGTTTTTCTCAAAATTGCTTCAGTCATTCTTAGTATATTAATGTTTTAACAGAATAAATAATATACAGTAATCCTGTTTTCGTAAACACATTTTTGATGTACTTCGTTAGAAAATCTCCACTTCTCAATTATTAACGCATTTGCTGTAACTATCGGCATGTTGATGATCTAGCGTTAATACAAATATTTTCTTTTCGGAAATCAAAAATAATTACAAAACATTTGATATCAAGGAAAGAAAACAACGTTCCAATATTGCGAGTTACGAAACTCACCGTTTAACGCGATGTTGCTTTTTTCTACTTTCGACCAACCTCATCTGTTAAAATTTGATTTCTGAAAATACTTTGCCACCTTAAGACACAATAGCAGATAACTAAAAATCCTGGCTAAGCCAATTGTTATAAAGCCTGCTTTACAGAAAGACTTATGGAATAATGCAAATGATATCCCTAGGAGGTGGAATGATTCAAGGGTAGGCTGCCACAAGGCAAGGTAATTGGGAGGAAAAATAGCAGTTAAGAAAGTAATGAGACAGATGTGATTCATCGCCTCGTTGCATTTGGAAATAACGCACGCAATGCAAACTACTGATTTCAGTACGAGGCAGGACTATAATGGTAACATGAACCTGAATTTGTCACTGCTAAGAGACATTATAATGATGATAGCCATAAATTCAACGTAACCACACCAAATCTCTAAACACTGAAAGATATTATATATTTGAAGAAAATATTTAAGCAAAATTGATGCATTTGTTTAGAATCTCTTAAGCTGGGTCTCTCATTCCGTCTTCTTTTAAAGAAAATATGGATTCTTTACATCTTTGCTAGCAAATAAGAGTATATCAAAATACTACGCAAGTATCAAAGATATTGTTAGCAATATTAAGAATTAATATTGATATGACGATAAAATTATGAAATAAAGCAAAAATGAAATGATAACAAGATAAGAGCAGGAAAATTCGATTACCTGTCCTGTTAACCAAATTTTACTTTAACATATGATTCTATGAAAGATTTTTGAGCAATAGAAAAATAGTTTAAAATAGAAATCAAATTTAAACATCTTATATTTAAACAGCATACGTCAGACAATAAGGAAAAATATTTCTTATGAAGAACTAGAGATCTAAAGAAAAATATTGTGACCTGGGGAAAAATATTGAGTCATAGAGATCTTTGAGACATCCCTCATATTAAAGCTTCTCGAACGTAGTATAATGCTGGTCAAAGAAATGATAACAGAATTAATTAGAGAAAATTTCTGTTCTAGTTGGCAATTTGTGGATAATCTCTCTCTCTCTCTCTAGGTACCATGCCCATCATGGGCGTAGGTAGTCATGGCCTTCCACTTTATTCGATCTTTTGCAGCATGTAGCATGTCATTTGTTGTCATATCAGTTGGAATGCATTGTGGATAATACGTCTTGAAAAGATTCCATACAGATAATCTGAGCTCTGTTTTGTAGCAGGATCTCGCTATTACTTTAATGCCAGGAAATGACTCATCGGCATGTTTCAGATAAATAGCAACATCAATAACATTTATTCAGTACTAGACAACACGAAACAGAAAAAATAAGAAGTTTCCTATCTTCAGTATCAGCTACAGTCAAATAAAGACAAAAATGTTGCAAGTTGTGCAGAATTAATCATGACATGGTGAAAAGCAAAAGCCTATTAGCTGACAATTTCCAGCCACTGCAACAGACAAATGAAAATATGACCAGCCAACAGAAAAATTGTCGGAAAATGATATAGAAATTCGAAACTCTTGATTATTCTTTTTTCACCATCCACAGTGATAGGAAAATGCTCAGGCTTACGTCAATGCAGAACAATTTTAAGAAGCACAAAAGAATAAATATAAGCTTGATCATGGGATATCAAGGACTCAAACGCATTTGAATCGCATGGCACAAAGGAGGATTAGAAGATATCAAAACTACTAGTGATCTTATGAGCTATGACCCACGAGTCTGTTCGACTTGTTATGATGAGTTAGAATGAAGCTTATTTAGCTACACAATTACGACGCTATGAGGAAAACAAAGTATGCTTTGACAGGGGCATGGGAACTAAATGTGAAGAGATGTGCAGGTCTAGACTTTAGAAGCAAATATAGCTGCAGCATTCCCACTCTCTGATTCCACAAAAAACGATTACATAACAAAACTAGGTCAGTTATCGTCATTCACAATTTTATATCGTTCATTGCTTTAAGTATACGAATTTTGCAAAGAAGATTTCTCTTTTGCAATTCTCTAAAAACTGTCCTCTTAGCTCACATCTGTCCCTGCATTTGCCACTCCATCATATCCCATCACTACTTCCTGTATTTTTCCTCTAACCCTC